ACTCAACTGATGTCCCATTACGGCCCTAACACGTAACGCGACTGACATGAGCCTCTCCTCTGCGAACTTCGCCCGGCGAAGTGTCCCGTCGTGACGGCTCCGTTACGGCTGCGCGGCATTGACCTTCGTCACGTCTACCGGACTGCAGGAAGGTCTGTGTCGCGCGGTCGGCGCTCGCTCGACGCAGCCCGCTCTGAGCGTGCTCTGCTAACGCTCAGCGCCGCGCTGGATCCGGTCCTCAGTACTGGCTCAGACTCGGTGCGGACAGGACAGACAGACAGGGACGGTCGTGCGGATAGTGTGTGCGGGCCGTGTGAGAGGTGATGATGTGACATAGTGGACAGCGACGATTTTATAGCTTTGCGTACTCTGAGAGTAGACTTCCGCTGTAAAACTGGTTAGGACGACATAACTATTTGCTTTTGGGATTTGCAGCGTTGTAGCTGAAGATATAACAGGGTAACGCCAAGACTGTGAAATGTGAATTTACTTGCGGGGAAAAATGCAGACCAAGAACCGGTAAGGTGAACGCTAATAAAGGTGACTTATTAGTAGACGATGCAGTACAGAAGCTGACCAGTGTGATATAGCCCAGCTGTGATTGACCGTGATTTAGTCCATCTGTGATATACCTATACCGGCACAATGCGGCTGAAGATTGAAACCGTCAAACCTACTTACCGCGTAAGTGAAACCTCGCCATCGCTTGGGGTGGTGTACTGTTCATAATTTGGGCATTTTCAACATTGTAGGTATGGAGATGATGTGGAGAGGTTGTGGCACCTAACGTACTTCATCATTGAAAAGCGCACCATCTGGCGTCCGCTGGTGGTGCAGGCCCCGTTAGGCTGTATTTTGTGTCGGTCTGATAACGCACTCTGCCCGACTCGGTCCGATGGCTGTTGTAAACAGTGCGCACTGCACGGTCTGGGATAACTCAAACCGGGCCGACTTTTATCGGCTCGTCAATCTAATAGCTCTGGAGAGGAACTACGGAGTTCACGGTTTTACTCGTATTTTTCACATCCATTTTGTCGAAAAGTCCGGGATCCTGGAAAGGTGTTTTCCACGAATGCTAAATGTGTCTGCAAAGAAGGCTTATCCACTACATCTGAATCAGTCATGTGCTGGCTTCATGATGCCAGGTTTAACACTTCGTGTAACTAGCAGGAAGTTGCTATTTATATCCCATAAACCTTTTCCTTCTTTGTCGAAGGCTACTACGAATGTTATTCACCCCACAGGGAAAGTATGTACCGTTTTCCTTAAATCCGTGTAAGAAAAGTGATAAAATTGAAAATACGGCCCCAATTTCAATGCATTGCACTCACTTCTCTTTCAAAAAGTCTTTCTTTGCTGCAGGCAGGCGTTCCAACACTGTGCGCCGTTCAGCACTCGCTCGTGTACCGTTCAGAGAGAGCAGACCAGGCCCGACCTTGGTCGGATCACACACCGTGCGCCGGTGTTCCGCCGGCGGAGACAGGCGACGGAAACATTGAACAGGAATAGCGGACGGTTAGACCCGTCATGGCGGTCTTTGTGGCATAAGTTTGGAGTTCCCACTTCGTTCAATATCATTGTGAAATGTAGCGGCTGGGGTAATCGGTGACCTTGCGGAGTTGAAATTGTACTAAGGCTTGCCTTTGTCTTTAAATCGATTGCCTTATGACCTTCGGTACGGGCGTCATTAACACTATTTATCTGTGGCCTTTTAAGAGAATGAGACATTACTTTTTGTCAGATATTTTATCACCCGAAGTCCAAAGTTGAGGTGGTGATTCCTAGCAATGCGCAGATAAAAAAGGATGTGTGTTACCAGGGTTAGCCGTTTTTTTCAATAAGCTACTTGATTTTAAGATTCTTTATTGTTACGTTGAACGTTTTTTTCTGTCCTCTTAACCTACCTCGCGTAGCTACATTGAGGAGGAACGTTTCATTTTGCGAAAGACGCACCGCATTCAAAACATAGAAAATTAGGCCAACTCTAGGTATTTGTTTGCTGGGATGGAAGAAATAAGTAAATGTATATTTGAATTCAGTGTATTATCACAATTGGACTTTCCGTTGTTAACCCGCGCCCCAGTGGCGGTCTCAGCCAACTTCGCCCTAGTGGGGGGGGGGGGGGGGCATATGTTACCACCCACCTCTAACTCAAAAACTAAGAGGGCTAGAAAGACGCGGTAAAAAGCAGTCGATAGCTCTCAATGCGTACGTTTGAAAGTATTTCGGTCATTTTTCACCTTAGAGCAATATTGGGGTCACCAGAGGTCATCAAAGGTCAAAAGTTGCCAATTGTCATTATATTTTTCAGAAAACATGCCGCTATCTCAGGAACTATGGTAGCTAGAAAAACGCATGGAAGTACAAACGATAGCTTTTGAACTCTTCTTTTGAAAAGGTCATTATCAATATTGACCTCAGGTCAACGGTTTAGCCTCCAGAGAGCAAAAACTCCCAAAATAGCTGTTTTTACGAAGTGTTTTTCGACAATAACTTTCTACTACAAAAAGCCACGACATTTCTATTGCCAGAATCGTGTTCCCCTCGCCGAGACGCGTCGAATGAACTATAATTTGACCTTGAAAGGTCAACTTGAAAATATGACCTCAGGTCAAGGTCATGACCTTACCGGAAAAGGTCATGTTGCATATCAGTCGATGCGTCTCAACAAGACAAACACAATGAGACCATCCCCGGCGTTCTATCTCTTTCCACTCGCGAGTTATTGGCAAAAATCTGTTTGTAGCCTCAGGTGACCTCGGATGACCTGTCTAGAGGCTATCAGTAAAAATGACACCTTGGTCATCACGAGTGGACTAAATCATTGTGATTCTAAAATATTTGGACTGTTCCGATGCGTACACACGGATCTAGAGGCATTTTCATTTTTCTCCATTGACTTGTAATGGAAAGGTCACGCCACTGACCTGACCTTAGGTCACAGATATAAAAAATCCGAGATATACAAATTGTAGGCGCCCATAACAGCATGCAATCCACCAAGTTTCAAACCTTTCTGACAAACACTGCAGGCTGGACATGATTGCAAACTTTTTTTTAGGCTTGGTCAGTTAACTTGACCTGGTGACCTGACCTGACATGACCTGGGGTCAAAAATTTCACACATTGTCCAAAATTGATGTACCAAAAGCTACCCCAAGCGGCGCGGCGCTACGCGCCGCGGTTTTTTATTCACACGCAAAAAACGCGAGAGGGTGGTAACATATGCCCCCCCCCCCCCACTGGGGCGAAGGTTAAAGATTTGCTAACGCAAACTGGCCAAAGTTGTAGCAAAATGTTCTCCGAAGCGGAATATATTTTAATTACCTGTCCCTGCGAAGTGTAAATGATATGGATAGCTATACATTTGCCTGTTTCAGGTTTTCCGTGTCCTCACATTTTTTTTTCAAATTTAGTGGTTCACCCGTAGAAAGCCGGCGCCCGGCGTGCGGTCGTATGTGGTTCTTGTTCTCGCCACTAGATGGCAACAGTAGTAAACGCCTGAAGGTATGCTGCACCGCATGGCACAGTGGCTCGCGGGCGGAGATGAATTCCTGGAAAAGCCGTTCTATCCCAGCGTGCTAACTTTGGCGGTGATTGGAGTTAGAAATGCATCCTATCATTTCCGAAACCAGGAGTTTCGTGGCTATAAAGTGGCGGGCGAATGCCAGCCACAACTGTTCAATAGTTCCGCCTACGTGGTTACTATGCGAGCAACGTGATGCAGGATTTCGCAGACAGGGTTTGAAGTTTGTTGGTAGGCTTCGCCCAAGAAACGGCATAGTCATGGACGTAAAAACGCTTCATGTCACTTAAACGTTGTACAGCGTCACTGATTAATTAGTTTTTAAGATGCAGAAGGGGCTGAGCCTCAACGCATTGACCCAATAAAACCGCATGAATAATGGTTTAGACTTAAAGCTCATTTTTGTGTTAGTATATCGCTTGAGGGCCACTGGGAAACCACTGTCTGTGTTACTGAGCCATTGATAAACTTCTCGGACGTCACGGCACCTTTTGACGATTGTTGCGTGCCAAATTCCCATGCTGGTATACACGCAGTAATTATACTAATGGTGTCGCTGGCTGTTTTGCTGGACCACCGTCTCTGCCAGGCGTGTTGTGTCGTGGTGCTTTTGCATGTGTAGCAGCCTGTGCCAGATGATGTTTCTTAGCTTCGTGTCATAGAATGAGAATCGTGGCTTTGCAGGGTCAAGTGATAGGTATTCTGTGATGATAGTCCCACCGCCAGGAAGCCTACGTGACAACGGATGCCACTGAGGTAGTGCAACGTTATTTCGTAAGAAAAATTGCCTTTCTGTCCGAACTTGGCATCTGGCACTGCATAGCCCGCCAATCCCAGACATTTAGTTACAGCGGTCATGATTTAACACATTTTTTCAGCGAAGTGCCTATTCTACAAGGCTTTATCATAGTAAAGCAAGCTTTGTTCGGTTCTGAAGAGAACAAACTGAAAGCTTTGCTGCACAATTACCTACAGCCTTCCCACAAATCTGTCTATGGCATATTGCCTGACCCTCAGGCCACCTATTTGCGTCCAATCTCGCTTATCCGTCATTCCCTCCCACACTCACATATGCCGCCCCTGACCGTGGACACAGGCTGTATCGAGACTGTTCCGCTGGTGCGTGGTCCTATATCTGGCTGACGTACGCGATAGCGCTATCGGCTTCTCGCTCATTTCGTGGGAAATGCGGTGTGTGGCCTCTGTTACGATATGGTATCGGTATGACCGGTCACCGCCAGCCCGTGGGAAGGCGTTGGGCTGACTGATGGTCCTATGAAGCCGGGTGTCAGCCCTGACCGGGAGTTGTACTCACGAGTACTTCGAGCAGCGGCTGTCCGGGAGCAGGCCGGCTGTGCTGGGTGCTGGTGGAGCTCTGGGAGCACAGTGGATCGGGAGCCCGGGGGCGGCTATCGCACGCTGACACATCCGCTCGCGTTGTGTAAGATTCCGAGCGCAGTCCTCTCCACTAGTCCGTCGATAGCTCCCGTCTCGATCGGCTGGCTGTGCTCAGTGTCACCGCGATTCGCTCACATTTTCAGCTTAACAGTGTGGCTGTTCTCGTGTGGTCGGATGGCGCGGTGACGCTTTGTGTGAAAAGATTGTAAGACTCCTATTGTCGCCATTGTAGTTTGGTAGTCGGTCGTCCGCTGCAGACGCGCACCTCAGCACCATGTCTGAGCGGCGCTGGACGTCTGGCGGCGCCAGTCCGGCCGTCAGTGGACGAGCTCACATCTTCCGGGAGACCCTGGCGGTCACCGCCCGCGTCAGGTCGTCACAGGGTGTGGCGACCTCGGAGGACGGCACCGCTCGGTCCTCAGCCCTTCCCTCGGTGAAGCTGAACCGCAGCTCGGCGCCGTGGTCCAGCCGCAGACTCAGCGCCAACATGGAGCGGCTGAGGGCCAAGTTCGGCGGCTCGTCCGACTCGCAGACCCCCGGTCAGCCTGCCTGGTCCGACCGAGAGCGGGAGGATGGGCCTCCCGTCACCCACGAGGAGCCCAGACCGGATGTGCTGCCCCGCTACGAGCGGCACGGAAAGCCGGCGGGAGGAGAGACGAGACCGGATGTGCGCTTGGACCGTGAACTTGAGATGAGAGGAACGGAAGACGTGCATTGTTACAGTGAGTCGGTGACTGCTCGCAGTCACCTAAACAGTAACAGCAGTCGAGCTGGTGAGGCGACAGTCCGAATGGTTATGCCGCCGGTAGAGGTCCTTATCTCTGGGAGAACCACTTCGACCGTGGAATCTACTAAGTCACCAGAGCAGTCGCGCCGGAATGAGTGCCGTGAATCGGGAGACGATGTCCCGGCAGAGAGTCATGTCTCGCGATCAGAACTTCCACTAGTTGAAGCTCATGTCTCTGGGGAAGAGCCTTCTCCCATAAACTCCCGTGTCAGTTCTGGAGTTTCGGAGTCCTCCGCCGGTCTTGCCGCGTTGGAGCTGGAGGTGGTGCCCCGTTCGGCGAGCGGTCGTCGTTTGGAGTCTGGTCGGGAGAGGAGACAGACCCGGGGACGGCTGGAGGCGCCGCGTCCCTGTCGAGTGCGGATGTCACGAGCCCACCGCGCCGCCCAGGCTGTGCCGGTATGTGCGGTTAGGTCTAAATGGTCCCGTAAATTGCGATAATTACTGCTATTAGCAGAGTACGAGATAAGAGTATCTGCTTTATGAAAATGCTTATAAAGACAGAACCTTTTGACAATATTTATCCACAGTATTTCGACTGTGTCTCTCCTGTGTCCTCTCTTCTTCTCGATCCCTGGCCATGTTTTGATCTTTTGCAAACTCACCGAAACGTGATGGAAAATGATCTAGCGAATGGCTCAAACCATAAACAGTGAACACATATTCCTGGCAGCTAGCCTTGCAGCTGGGCATTTTGCACCTGCTGGTCCTAGAAGCCTCTCAGTACTTGCACACAGGCTTTGTGATAACCGCTGACCCATCATAATTTAACGAGCCCGTTGGCCAATGGATTAGCATGACATCCAACACGATCAATATGCCGATGTGTCTAATTATCCCTATTTAATATCACTATGGTTTTTGGGTATGTCTTCAGTGTGACCACTGTAATTTCACCGTGACCGATGGTTATTTTATGAGAAGTTAAGATTGGGTACCCAGAACTATCTAGGGTATTCCGTACTCACGTGGAAATACAGATTATGTTAACAGTAACTACTGGCATATACTTTATCCTCAACACAGCTTCAAAGTTCAAACATTTTATCCGTAACCCGTACTGGCTCGTACTGAGCCCTGCTGACGCTGACTTTTGCAGACTTCCCCCCCCCCCCGCTCCACAGTGTCCCCTATTGATTTCATAATGATCCCCTCTACTGATTCTCACTGTCCTTGCTTGACCTTCTCTGGACCCCAATGACCCATGCTCCTCTCCTCAATGACCCCATGGTGAACACATGCTGACCCCATTCTGAACCCATTCTGACCCCTGCTGACCTATTCGTCCCCAGATGAACGAGCGCGGCTCGGGTCTGCGGCCGCGCGGCACGGTCCAAGACTTTGACAAGCTGCGCCGCGAGTGTCTCCGCTCCGGTCAGCTGTTCGAGGACCCCGAGTTCGCCGCCGAGGACTGCTCTATCTTCTTCTCCAAGTCACCGCCGAGACCGTTCGACTGGCTCCGACCCAGCGTAAGTGGGATGGGAGGAAGTGAGGGAGGTGGGACGCGACGGGACGGGATGAGATGGGATCAGATGGGATGGGATGAAATGGGATCAGATGGGATGATATGGAACGGGACGATGCAGGATAGGAAGGATCGAACACCAGTCATCACGTTCACTCAGCAGGCATAACGCATCATGCATGGCGGCAATGCTTTGATTTTTTAATTACCTGTTGCTCTCATAGATTGCGCACGATTGGATAGCATGGATGTATTACGACGATTTCCTGACCATGACATCGTTTGTCCCGCAGGAGATAGTCAGCAACCCTCAGTTCATCTCCAGAGACGCCTCCCGGTTCGACGTACAACAGGGAGAACTGGGTAAGCATTCTGACATCATAGAGGAGCTTGTCGAACCCCAGAAACATGGCACATAGACAGCGGATGAGAACGAAATCAAATTAAAGCGTGCGAAAATAATGCGGGATTGGTTGCCTGTGTTCCCTTCTCATTTAGGTCGTCTCATTCAGCTAACCTTTTGGGTGGTGTTGTGGAAGTCACCGTCATTGTTCGCACCCTCAGTCATTAGCGCCTCTATCGGCACTCATCGATTTACTATTGACGAGTAAAGAGCTTTTTTGTGCCAGGTTCTGTAAGGCTGGGATATTCGTGTGTTTAGCCTGTCCGTGGAGCCCTCTTATGTTCAGTATAGAAGGTGTGACGTTGCGAGTCATGACTGTGGTGAACAATTTTTAGTGTCAACGTTGTTTATGCGCGCGTGACACGCCTGTCACCGCTACATATTCACCTGTTGTCTGTTAGGGTATTAGGGCCTTGTTTGTCTAATCTGCCCTCCGGTCTCTCCGGTCTGGCCCTTGGTGTGTTATCTGATGTCTGGTCTCTGGTATGGTCTCTGTCCTAATCCCTGATCTCTCCTGCTCGGTCTGAATATTCCCTCTGTTCCCCGGCAGGTGACTGCTGGCTGCTGGCCGCCGTCGCCAACCTCACCCTCAACAAGGACCTGTTCGCCCAGATCGTGCCCGACAACCAGAACTTCGAAGACGAATACGCTGGCATCTTCCACTTCCGGTGAGCTTCGTTTGTGTGTGAGACATTGGCAAATAGCTGAGTGACGAGTCCCTGCCCGGAGATTGCAAGAGAATACCGGACTGATTGGGAGGTGATAAGTCACCTGTGAGCAGGTGACTTATCATCTCCTCTAAGTCACCTGTGAGCAATCAACAGCAAATTTGATTGCATGGATAACGGGTTGTGGCGCAATTGTTTGCAATATGGCGTGTCACATCTGTTGTGGTGATAATGCGGTGATTCCCTGCTATCGTTATCATGAGTAATCCGTTTTGCAGTTTCACAGCGATGTCAGCCTAGCACCCCCCTCCCCGCCACCTCGTTTGTGCGCAAACTGCACTGTGGCGGTGGCCGATTCACCCGTTACACTTTCCTCCGCTCGAGCACAGTTATACCAACGCGTGACGACTTAATCAGCACGATCAGAGTTTTTCCAAGGTGACACCGTGTCTAGATCGCGATAAAGTGCGGTGCGAGGTTGGTGACGTCACTGTGAATGTCATCATTCACAATCAACGCCGCTGGCTCACCATACCTCACTCTTTGGTGTGCAAGAGTTGTAGTTATCGCTGAAGCTATATCGGACCCGCTAAAAGTGGACCAAGGTTTTACGAATGATAACCACAGCTTAGCATATGATACCGTCTCATTTACTCATAGCCACTTTTAGCCACACCCTGTGACGTGAAACCGTTCCCCGGTTGGTGATGTCGTTCTGCCGCTGCTCACGGTGATATGTCACCACTGTCTGTGACCTGGTGACGTGTCGCTGACCTGTGACCCAGGGACTTGCCGTAACCCGTGACTTCGTGTCATGTGACTGCGGGCGCGTCATTGTGTCATCTAACCATGACCCTTGACTCTGGCTGGCGTGTGACCCGTACCTGTGCCTCGCGTACCGCCAGGTTCTGGCAGTACGGCCGGTGGGTGGACGTTGTCGTCGATGACCGCCTGCCCACCTACAACGGCCAGCTGGTGTTTATGCACTCCGAGGATAACAACGAGTTCTGGTCGGCACTCCTCGAGAAGGCCTACGCCAAGTGAGTCAGTGGACTGCAGTCTGACCCGGGAGAGATACAGAGGGATGTTTTGTAGGAATATTCGCGACGATTCACAGGACGATGTAACACTATTACCGTGGCATAAGATGGTTGATAAGCGACACGGTGCATACAGGATAGACATTACTGGCTTATCATTGAGAATTGCTCAATCGCACGTCAATGTTCTGTTAAGTTTTGGTCATTGTTTCAATAAGAGTCGAGTCATTGAGCTATAAGTCGTTATGCTCGATAAGCTTAATGTAACACTTCAAACAATGCTCATCCCTTTCAGCTTCACAATACCATGAGTCATGACCATGGGCCTCTTGTTCGATATCTAACCCATCCCATCCCCCTGCCTCTTTCAGACTGCACGGCTCGTACGAGTCGCTGAAGGGCGGCACCACCTGCGAGGCCATGGAGGACTTCAGCGGCGGCGTCACCGAGATGTACGACATCGACAAGGCGCCCGACAACCTGTTCCAGATCCTCCTCAAGGCCGACGAGCGCAAGTCGCTCATGGGATGCTCTATCGAGGTGGGTGTGCACATGGGTCTGCTGAATACCGGGAGATGGTGATGCCCAAGAAAGCTTAAGTGTGCTGAGAGATAAGCACTACGTTTTTATTGCTGACTAGCTATCGATTTTCGTAGTGGTTTTCTACTTTTTTTTCATAGTTTTGGTAGCTTGATCAGCTGCTGTTAAATAGTCCCAATTTATTACTTTTAATTTGTTTTCTCAAGTTCTTATTTATAAATTGACATTCCTGCTCAGTGTGAAAATTATGGATTAATCCACTTTCACAAGCTCTCTCCCTGTCTCTGTGTAACAGCCGGACCCGAACGTGCTGGAGGCGGAGCTCTCCAACGGCCTGATCCGCGGCCACGCCTACTCCATCACCAAGGTCTGCCTGGCCGACATCGAGACGCCGCGCGTCAGCGGCCAGATTCCCATGGTGCGCGTGCGCAACCCGTGGGGCAACGAGGCAGAGTGGAAGGGCGCCTTCTCCGACTCGTGAGTGGAATAGGGTGGGAGGGATTAAGGAGATGGGGGGGGGGGGACAGGGGGTGTGATGTGTGCACTGGAAACTGGTGAGTGCGACATTGTGCCGCTACTGGGCTTGCTGGCGAATAACTTGGATAAGCTATAACGATATCTTCTGCTACCGTCGTCCCCCGGAAGGGGGGGATGGAAGTGTTACGTTTTTTTTTTAACGACTTGTTAGACAACTATTAGGAGCTCGCTTCTTGCACCCTTTAATGTTAAAACGTTGATGTATCTTAGGGAATCTGTGTGTTGTTCCTAGGTCTCCAGAGTGGCAGTACATCCCTGAGGAGTCCCGGCAGGAGATCGGCCTGACCTTTGACGCCGACGGAGAGTTCTGGATGACCTACAAAGACTTCATCGGTAACTTCCAGGTACGGCGGCCTAGTCAGTGACCAGTTCAGGTCAGTTCGTCTGCATATGCCAGTTATTGCGGACCATTTTGCTGAAACCATTTCACATCAGCCGTTTCGTTACGGTAATGTGTTAGCAGAAAACATGGCATCTCGGAGTCGGTACGTTCTCTCAAAGACACACGCTATAACCGCGCCTTTTACCGTTTTAGTGTCTGGAGATCTGCAACCTGCGCCCGGACAAACTCGAATCGGGCGTACATGATTTAACCATGCCTTTCACCACTGTCTTAGCGTCTGGAAATCTGCAACCTGAGCCCGGACAGTCTCGAAGAAGATGACGAGGAGAACAAGACGAAGCGCTGGGAGATGTCGGTGTTCGAGGGCGCCTGGGTGCGCGGCGCCACCGCCGGCGGCTGCCGAAACTACATCAGTAAGTCGCCGGCTCGACAGCGGGATGGTGCAGAGACTCACATTCGTCTTGTGACTAGCTCGCAACTCGGTGTGACTTAGATGTTCTGGATAAGTTACTTATTCACTCCAATATGAAGTTGAATTGCTAATATTATGTCGAACTTTTTGAACCTGATTGATTTGCTTTTATGTTCATGGTTTTATCTATTAAATTTATATAGTAGGTATTACATACTCTTCAGACCGAAGGTAAATTCCTAACTGGAAATAGTTTGTGTGTCAACCCCTAAATAAATAAACAAGTGCACGCTTAAAAATTGTCTGATCCCGTGAGCGTCAAATAACGCCCACCTGCCCGCCCGCAGGTACGTTCTCGTACAACCCTCAGTACGTCATCAACCTGGCCGACCCGGATGAGGACGATGACGAGGAAAAGTGTACAGTCATCGTGGCGCTGATGCAGAAGAACCGGCGCGCCCAGCGCAAACTGGGACTCGACTGCCTCACCATCGGCTTCGCCATCTATCACGTAAGATCAAATGGTGTCAGGCTAAAGGGGTAGGTTTTGTGTAGTTGAATTTGCGATCGGTGTCACGTGATAATTGTGTAACATTATGCGTTGCTTGCCGAACAGTTTAGATGGAAAGGAGATTTGAAATGATGTATATTGCCGAATAGTTGCAGCCTGATCTATTGCATGCACTGAGCGTAGTTGTGTTGGATATCACGTTTATCATAACTGATTATCCCATCATTGTCATGCGGAGGGGAGGGGCGCAGTAACTGAAACATCTCTCTACACACCACATTGATGTGGTGTGTAGAGAGTTTAGGTGATCACATGACCTGACCCGACCTGACACTGCCTCACGTGACCTGACCCACCCGGCTTTTCCCAGGTGCCGGACCCGGAGAGCTCCCCTGTACCACTGGACACCAGCTATTTCCGGTACAACTCATCCGTGGCGCGCGCACCGAGCTTCATCAACCTGCGCGAGGTGTCGTGCCGCTTCAAACTGCCGCCGGGCAGCTACTGCATCGTGCCGAGCACCTTCGAGCCGAACGAAGAAGGCGAGTTCATCATACGCGTCTTCTCCGAGAAGAAGAACAACATGGAGGAGAACGACCAGGAGGTCGGCCCCGGCAGCGTCGACGACTCGGTAAGTTGTGGAGGAGGAAAGGGGAGGGAGGGAAAGGGAATCGGGAGGAAGGCAAAAAAGAAAGAACCTGATTGAACGGGAAATAGGTCATTCGGTGTTTAGGAGCGTTTTTGGATGATAACGGATTCGGCGATGCCATGATTGTTACGATTGGCTAGTTCGGCAAAGTTTTGTGTCACTGTCTGATGCACCCTGATAGATTTGAATATCACTGCTTAGGCTCGACGTTCATTCCTGCATGTTTTGCTGTCTAGAGAACGGTATGGTATAACCCTAGTTCACTATAAGCATAAGAGCTTTTATTTTGAGGATGTGACGTATGCAAGCTTAGAATGGACGTATGAGCTAAAATACTAGAGCATCGATGACTTTTTGTTTCACTAATATCCTTCTTCACTGACGGCTTTTGCACTGAGTGGCCTTAGCAGCTTGTCGCCGGACCCACCACGTCTCAATCACGTTTCTACCCTTCGCTTTGCACTCGAATTATGCACCTATCCCTCTCTGACTGTTAGTCCAACTTCACTGCACCCCACAGCTGCACATCCAGGACTCTCAGCAGGACATCAACAGGACTCTCGGTCTCCACACGACGCTGTCCTACCTGGTTCCCGTTTTCCCCCATAGCACGACTTGAACAATGAACTTCATCTCCTCACATTATTGCCTGAAATCTCCGTTTTCCCACGGCACGCCCTGGCTCGGCCTTCCCTTCGACACAGCCTAACCGGGCGCTCCCGGCACCGGTTTCAGATTGCGTCTGGACTGGGCATTCGGGACGGCGGTCCCGGCGGTGTGAGTCCGGGGTACCGCTAGGGTTCCTCTCGCTTCGCTCGCTTAGCTTAGCTCGTTGGCATGCCGCGGGAAGTGGGGCTGCTCCGCTGGCATGTGGTCGTATGGTTCGATTCGGTGGTATCTGGATGTTATATATGCGTCCGGCCATGTTGGGCGTATGTAATTGCGTCCCGTTTCGGTTTGATGTATGGGGTTATCATTTGGCTCAGACTTCCAAACTTAATTAGCCTCCCAGACCCAAAATATAGCTACCTGTCGCCATGCATTGTTAGGCTGAAATGTAAACAAGTTTACCTCAGTTTTGCTGTTCCTTGGGCGAAGAGCTTTGTGCTTTATTATATTCCGCCTTATTCCTTCTGCTATAAGGGTGGCGTTTCAGGTTTAGTTGTCTCGCTGCTCGTGGGAGCCGCTTATGCCTATGATGAGCAAACTCGTTAGGTCGCTGTGCTATCGGGTGCCAGAAAAAAAATCAACGCTAAGCAATTCGTAGTTAACCATAGGCCATAGCTGAAACCGTGTCACATGTCTTGGGGGATTCATTTACCGATTATCTTTCTTGGTACGTTGCCTACTTATTTTGTCACTAAATCGCTGTGTAGTGCGCAATGCGTATCCTTTAGAGATTCTTCACTTTTTTGGTCCTCCCAGGATTCTTAGTTTTCCACACACTCATTCGTATCACGAAGGTAACGTATCACCCACCCATTCGTATATCGTCGTTAGGTATTTGTATATAGACCAGTCCAGTATAGTGTGATTATGACGCTATTTTGTCATTTATCTGAGCATTTGTGATGAGTCATTTAGGGGACCCAGAACATTTATGATGTATCGTTCAGTTTCTTTCCTAGCCAGGTAAATATTTGTCACTCACCTCCAAGGTTTCAGATATTGGGATGACGGCCGTCGTAATGTATCCAAAATAACACTGGAGTAGGTATTATAATATGGCTTTAACTGAAGTCAAGGGATAGTACGCTTGTTTAGTAGATACCAGCGTCAACAGCTTCATCGAGTTCTCCTCACGCGAGTATCCTCTCAGTAACTTTAGACAGTTCACCAGTCTCTGACCCCGGCTACCGGGGAGCAGGCCTGGGCCATGAACAGCTGTACCGTGTGACTCCTCCCTGACCACCGCGTCCCTCCCCTGGCGCAGGTGAAGCCGCAGCTGGAGGAGGAGTCCGAGTACGATCAGATGGTCCGCGAGTTCTTCAACAAGATCGCCGGCGACGACCTGGAGATCGACTGGATGGAGCTTAAACAGGTGCTCGACTACGCGCTCAAAAAAGGTGGGTGGCAACGCCAGGGCGTGTGGTTGTCGATTGTCGAGTATGGAGCCCGGCAAGATTTTCTGTTAGCACAGACCGCGGGTGTTACGATTGATGATGAACTGTAATTCATGTGTATGTGATTGAGCGCCTACAGAGATGCGCTGTAGATGCGCTGCATAGACCAGCGTCAATCGTCTAAAACTGTCACCTGTTTTCTGCAACGTTTACGCAATGCTTTTTCATATGTTTGGTAGATTAGGTGCCCCAACTGTATTTTTAGTGACCCAATCATAATACGATGTTTGGGAGTCAAGCGTGTCCCTCACTAACCTGTGTCCATTTTCACGCGGACGTGCAGAGTTCAGCCGTAAGTTGTATGACCATTCTATATATGTTGTCTCGTGATCGGTATCTCTCCACTTCACCTACAAATTTATGGCTAAAGGCACTCAATCTCCTAACCATCACTTGGATATCATCTACGCACGTCCTTTGGTTATTCATTCTTCTCTCAGTTTGGGAGGCTGATGATTGCTATCTTTGTACGCTGCCATTGATGTCGTATCTACTCTATTCTTTGAAGGAAGCTTCTTGCATGTCATGGCAAATGCTCATTTACAATCATTACCATTGACCGTCGTAACTCTTAGCTGATCGCCTACTGAAGCCGAAAAAGCGAAAAAACGAAATGAAAAACCGAAAAAGTGTGCCGTGGAGCTTGTACTTTACCTAATGTTTCGTGGCATGATGATGGGTTATGACGATCATTGAGCATGGCAGCATCTGTGTATTATATCGTTGCTATGAGCAGTCGATAAAAATGTAAGATAATTCCAACTGGAAAACTTTCTTGTGATATGAAGAGCAATGTTCCATTATAAGCATAACGCATCCCATTAGCACAGTCAATTTTAGTTTTGTTGCTATTTTGGCTTCACATAATACCACGTAGGTATCACAAATGGTTTTGGAGCCAATTTCAATGTTGCTATTTATCAGAATGATCGCTTTGAACGCAACTTCTTCATTTTTTTTAATCCGTTCCCAGTAAATATCGTCTTTGAATAAATGCCAAAATTGCTCACATACCTGACAGCGGTACCCTAGGAAGCAATGCACTGCGATTCAACGGTTACGAATATAAAATATTATCATTTCATATCGCACATATTTGCTTATATCCACTATCCAAACCCAGCACCGTGTTAGCTCGGCCCCATCCAAGACGTGTTGTATAAGCGCTATCCGCCTCTCTGCTCGCCTAACGCCGTCCGTTCGATTTCCCCTCTCAGAGTTCGAGTTTGAGGGCTTCAGCAAGGACACTGCCCGCTCGATGATCGCTCTGATGGACGTCGACAACTCGGGCAAACTCGGTCTGGAGGAGTTCAAAACTCTGTGGAGCAGCATCCGCATCTGGAAGACAGTGTTCAAGCAGCACGACGCTGACGGCACGGGCCTGCTGAGCGCCTTCGAACTGCGCTCGGCGCTCAACGAGGCCGGCTACCGGGTCAACAACAACCTGCTCAACTCGCTGATGCACAGGTGAGGCCCGGAAACAATATTCAGCTCGATGATGCACCAGTGAGGTCGAGTGACAGTCTCCTGCACATGTTTCGCTTATTTGCAGGCAGTCGCCGGTGCACGTCTTTCAATGCGAATGATCTCTGATTTGATTGATGTTCAGAATTTACTGGTGGTGTCACACTGTCAATTTGTGTTTCAGATACGGCGACAAGGATGGCAACGTGGCCTTCGACGACTTCATGGCCTGCGCAGTGAAACTGAAGACCTGCATGGGTAAGTAGTCACGAGTTGGCATTAGAAAAGCGAATGCTTTTTGTCACTGTCGCCAAGGCCACTGTCGCAAGGAATCTTCACAACAGGGCAACCAACACATGGCCCTGTTCATGAACCCCGGCGGTTGCTGCGGCCGCTGCGGTCGCTGCGGCCAGCCGGGTTGTTACGTCACAAAAAGGGGCGGGGCTCATGTAGTATGACGAATGTATGACGTCATCTTGCTGCGGCCGCTGCGATCTCTGCGGCCGCAATCCAGCGACCGCCGAGCCTCAAGAAAACTAATTGCACTGAACTTGGCGCACTGAAGTCAAACAGGCGCAAGCCGTGTTGCCATGGAGACGATTTTGTAAACAAATTATCTACCGGTGTGCTTCAGTTGTAAACAATTGTCGGAAACTATTTCGGCAGCAGACGCTGTTCATGGAACGCTGCTGCGGCCGAGTGAGTGATGACGTTTCAAAAATGGGCGGAGCTTAGAGCCTGCGGCCGGCCGCAGCGGCCGCAGACTTCATGAACAGGGCCATGATCGGCTGAGACATTGACGCCACCATAGACCAAAGTTTTGAACCGTATTATTCGACTTGCGCCTCTATAAACAATGTAATAATTTCGATGTAGCCTTTTCTTTGGGACGGCATCCGCGCTACCCTTGGCAGGCAGTGGAACGGGCGAGTGTCCTGTATTGTTCGTATAGTACGCTGCCGAACGCATTTTCTACTTCCATCGCGTGCTTTCTTCAATGCTCACTTCAACCTCTTCTTGCAGAGATCTTCCGTGACCGTGACCCGGAGAAGACGAACCAGGCCATCTTCTCGCTGGAGGACTGGATCGAGTACAACATGTACTCGTAGACTGGCCGTGGCCGAGCAGTCTCCAGTGGTATGGTGGGACATCTGGGCCAGCCAGCGCCGGGGCCCAGCCTGCGGACACCAGTGACAGTCCGACAGCCGTCCGAGCGAGCACAGCCCGCACCACCACGGCGCGCGGCCGCTGGCGCCGACGCACCCACCGAGACGTGGGCACTAAGACCTCGAGGTCCGAGCGGGAGCCTTCGTGCGCGCTGCGGTCTGAGCCGGACTCTCGCAGAGCTGGGGATCAAAGCCGGGTGCCGCCGGTCGCTGCCGGCCGATCCCCAAAGGTGCGCCACAAACGGATAAAGACTCAGAGAACTGTGCGTGTGCTCGAGTGTGTGAGTGAGTGGTACTAACTGATACTGGTCACAGACGACGAGTCGGTGTAAAAGTCCCGCCGCTGACTGTCGCGCAGTGGCGGAGAGCGTTCTGCTTGCAACACTTCTTCTCTGAACTATGTGCTCGGCACCGTCCTCTCGGTCTCTCCTGTCGAGTCGAGCGCGCCTCCAGTTCAGTCGGGCGCGCTAATGTGTCGTCAATGCCAGGGCGTCGATAGAGAGGTCCGGGCCGCCTTCTACAAGGTCACCGTACCGTGCTTTGGTGTATTTCGACTCGTGTTGGTCGAGGCCGACGTGTATTTCGAGTCGGTGACTGCAGCTGCTGAATCGGGTGAACAGCTCTTTCTGCGATCGCAGTGCCTGCCTGCTGTACCTCGCTTGTTTTTGGTCTTGTGCGCGAAGGAAGCTGTTATGTTAGGTCAGATTCGCCTTAGCTCTAAATATATTTTGAATCTGGTCACTGTTGTTTCATGTTTGCATGCTTATAAAGCTTTTAAATTATATCCTCGAGAAGAAGACACATATCAACTCTCCATGTTGCACATAAATATGTGTCACACTGCAACTGCAACTGTTTGACCCTCGGCCCCTCAATGTAGCACCGATCGCGGACTTGTCCCCGCGGCGAGCCCGTGGAATGCCACGCTGACGGTTGTATAAATAAACTGCCGATCATGTTTGCGTGATCGGCAATCGGCGCCATAGCTCCGCCGTTCTCAGCGCGTCAGTGTCCGTCCCCGCTGCGCCGTTGACCGCCGCGTCTGGTGGCTCGGTATCTGGTCTGTAGTTACCGATTAGCCCGTTCGACTCTGCTGCAGCCTGTGAAGCCGACCTACCTACCGTCATGCGGCGGTTATCTCAGCGCTGCGTTCCTGTCCTGGTTGCTCTGTGGTTGGTGAGCTGGTGCGGAGCCGACCAGCCTCAGCCAGTCAGCACCAGCACCAGTCCGGGGGAGGTGGTGCGACTTCTGGAGCAGAGGGTCACAGCTTGGCTACAGCCAGAGATCGGCAGTCTAACTTCCCGCGTGGAGGCACTCGACTCGCGACTCAACTCGGTCGACTCGCGACTGAATACTCTTGACGCTAGACTTCTGGCGCTGGATTCTTCCCAGAACGTTCTCGGTTCCCGAGTGGACGATCTGGCCTCTCAGCTCGCCACGAAGACGGCGGATGACGGCGGACTGTCAGCCCGGCTGGGCGGCCTAGCTGCGCTCCTGGCAGCCCAGCAGTCCCGTCTGGACGGCTGGGCCGCTCAGATGGCGGAGCGGTCGTGTGACCCGTCCCCGCTGCCCCGGGACTGCAGTGAGCTGCCAGCGGGCACCGCCAGCGGCATCCAACTGCTGCAGCCGGGCCTGGACCGGTCCGCGCCCCCCACTCCGGCCTACTGTGACCTGGAGTCGGACGGCGGAGGATGGACCGTCGTCCAGCGGCGTGCCGACATCCAGCCCCGACAGGAGTTCTACCTCGGCTGGCAGGCGTACCGCGAGGGCTTCGGCGAGCTGGACAGGGAGTTCTGGTGGGGCCTGGAGTCGCTGTGGAGGATGACCAGTCCGCGGGACCGCCGATACCAGATGCGCGTCGACCTGGCCGACTTTGGCGGAGTGAGGCGATTCGCCGTCTACCAGCAGTTCCGAGTGGCGTCCGAGGCCGACGGCTACCGGCTCTCGGTGGCTAACTACAGCGGCGACGCCGGGGACAGCTTCAGCTACCACAATGGCCACAGGTTCACCACCAGGGACAGGGACCATGACCAAAGCCCAAATAACTGCGCTCAATTGTACAAGGGTGCTGGCTGGTACGACCATTGCTACAGGCAAAATTTAAATGGCCAATACCTGTCTGGAATAACCGACAATCACAATGGTGTCAATTGGAACCACTGGAGAGGTGACAAGTATTCCGTAAAGGATGTGGTGATAAAGATAAGACCTGCGTAGGTAGCGAAATGAGACAGTGGGCGGGCAACATATCACCACAAAAACAATAGCTGTTTCGCATCGCCTCACAGTTCACACCCTTGGGCCTTGATGCCAACGTAACAGCATTGAACACAAGACTGACTGCCCATTGATTTCTAACTAGATAGCTATTAGAAGATTCAGGTGAGTGGTGACCTCAAACAGGAAGCAAACTTAGACCAAATCTTCAACAGAGTAGCAGAGCAGTGATCATCCGGACCCGAGCAGGCTCGAGTGGGAACGTGGAAGCTTTGTTTTGAATCTCAATCTTGGGCAAGGTCTTGGAGGATCCGTGCGCAGTCATAGATGAGCCATAGGCTTAGATCAATATGCATACATATGGCATACCTACATGCTAAACACTGGTTGAAATATTTGCCAGCCATGCGGATTGAGTGCTGAGCAGTGAGCAGTGAAATAAACATGAACGAAAGTACGAAATATAAGCCCCCAAATGGTACCATGGCCCGGCCATGGATGAAGTATTTATCACAGAATAGTATTTATAATCTTTATCCTAATGCCCATACCAAGGCTATGTGCCCATACTTACCTAATCGAATACCTAATCCAAACCTAATCCCACGGTATATAGGGAACTCCTAACTTGGCCCGGCTCAAAGGCCCCGGCTCGAGGCATCAACTAATGACGTCATTGGCCCAGAAGTCTTCAAAGTTATGCTCAATTGGACAAACGCTGAATATAAAATCGGCGACAAATACGACGCAAATAAGTGGCGCGTCGCGTCGTCGCCTGCTGTTCGGCAGCCGGCTATTTTGTGTGCAGGGTATGACGCATTCCGCGAGCCGACGTCACGGGCGATGACGTCGGCTCGCGCGCGAGCCGAGCGCCAGCGACAAACTAACGGGAACCCTCGGACACCCTCGGGGCATAAACTGCGGAGTAGCATATTGAGCGAGTCTTTTAAGGGAAATTCATATAGTTTCGTTTCTCAAATGATAATCAGGGTGTCTCTTACCTTTTCACGCATCATTTAGGCTTACCTAACACTTAAGTTGCCAAATATCTGCAATTTATTCAAACGAAGGTATTTTCCGTAAATATCAATACTATAGACCGAAATCTTTTGAATAAAAACTCCAACCAATAGAAATAAAAATAACTAATTTTATTCCAATCATTTCCTCGTCACTTTTACACACATCATTCATAATAAAGCATACTAACACGCCGTTTTTGACAATTGCGGCGTTGAGTGGCGCGCTGCTAGCGCTCTTTTTCGATCGCAGGGACCCTGCACGCGCGCGAGCACACTACGTCACGTCCGGGGGGCACACGTATATGAAAAATCGCAGTGACGTAACACTTTTCTCGCTTCTCATTGGTCAATAGCCCGTTGCCGGGGTAACGTGCACGTATGTGAGCGCGGGCAAGAGTACTAGCCGGCCGCCGATCAGGGCCGACGGCGTCGTCGCACGCGCCTGAATATACAGAATATATTACACAGGGTATATAGAACAACGGGTACACCAACGACGCGGAAAGCGCCCATTTTACCTGGATGAGTTACATGGAAGGTGATATATTTTTTGAATATGGAATAAATACAGTATTCCATTATGACGAGTAAAGCGAAATTCATAAAGTTGTTATTTTTAAAATATATGAACCAGAAATAACATACTAACCATAGTTTAAAACTTAGAATAAAGTTAGTTGAAAAGCCTATAGTTGATACTAAGATGGAAGGAATCTATGGAAGGCGGAAATGGCGCAGCTGTTTCATTCTAAAAATGTGTTCGCAAGCAGGATATACGTGATGCTAGCGACATCTATTAAGGTAATCGGGGACGCTCATTGGCTGATCGAGTCCGTGAGCAGTATCGCTAACTTACGCTAGTACAGGGTTGAGGCAATGTGCGCATGCGCAGGAACTAGTGCCCTCATGGAGGGGCTTTTGGTACCTCGGGCAGCGCCCAATGCTTTTTGGACCTGTTATGGCCTCCGCATCGAAAAACGCTAGATAAAAAGGTTGTAGAGGAAGCTTTAGGCTACCTTTCCCCACAATAATATTGGCAATTTATCTTTTAGCTTACGTGTGGGGCTCGCTTGAAAAAGGTCGATTTAACATGTAAACCCTATGGGGTAGTAGTTTTTGAGCGCCCATTTGGCCTAATGCTACCAACTGTTACTGGCTACCCCTGATATTACACACACGCCGGTGGAAGATAGGTTGCTGTAAGTGGTGGGTGTTTTGATTTTTTTACATTTTATCGCTATTATTTTAACATGTCGCATAATTCTGTTCATTGTGGCGAGTTCAGTCATGTGTACTTTAAGATATTTGACTCCCTGAGGCCTGAGGCCTGAGCAGTGCAAGTGGGCATTAGCACTGGACTGGGCATGTTTTGTATCTATATTTCAATTTGTTGGTGTGACCCTGTGCTATAGATGACTACTTTCCTGACATTTTTGTTTGAATTGGGTGCTTGTTGCTGGTTAGATTTATGGGAAATGTTTCACATGTTTAAGGTCAAGGTGGTACTTACCTACTGTTGTTATTAGTAGAGCAGACGTCACACGAAGGTTTTCCGGTATTTATTTACTTTAGGTCCGCAAAACAGGGGTAAATAAAAGTCATTCACACGATACTCTAAGACCTCCTGATTTCATTTCTGATACTTATTCCTTCTAGAAACCAATTTAAAAGCACCAGTACGGTAGTATCACCAGTATCACCACCAACGGCCCCACCTCCGACCGGAACTGCACGTGTCATAAGACCGTCTGCGCGGCGCACCCGCTACAAATGGTCCAACCAAGGTTGAGCGAAATTACGGATAATAATAAATTGTAAGGAAAGTGACGTCAAAATAATCGAGGCGGAGCGGTGCAGTGCCGAAGGCAATGCCTTAGGAGAGATTACAGGCAATGGTAAGTCAAATATTTTTAGGTTAAGTGGTTATGCATCAGGCTTCAGGCCATTGCTTGCAATCTATTCATGCAAGTCACTTTTTCCTTTTCCCCCAGTAGGCAAACATCAGTAGGTCAGGTTAGGTAAGGTTTGGTTATGTTCTGATCATTTTCTCATGCTCTATTACCTTTGCTTAACATTTTCTCTTTTTTATTCACCGTTTTTCTTGTGCTTTGGTATTATGACGTCATTTTCATAACGTCGAAAACTAATGAATATCTGCATCATTTTTTCTTTCTTTTATAGGGCAGCGTTGTATGTTTCGTTTTTGTCGCGGAAGCGTGCTTTCTTACACTGAAGAATCTTCAGTGTATATTGTGCAGCAGTGCGGTGTAATGTGCTGGGGTTTTACTTAGTATCTTATTTTACATTTTTGATGCATTTAAGCATCATATCTGAATTCAGGACATCAAATAGTGTAAGAATGTGCATTTTTTCTTGTTAAAATAATATTGCGGACCTTAAGTAAATATTTACCGGTTTTCCAACCAAGGAGAGGCACCATACCCAAACCCAATGGTGTTTTTTTTTCTAGGAAAACCTTAACAAACCTAACCTGACCTGACCCTTGGCTGGAAAACCTTCGTGTGATGTCTGCTCTACTAATGTCCTACTAGTTTGGGCAGGAGGCTAATTTGAGCATTGCTTTTTATTGTTCATCACGAATCTTTGTCCATTTGAATGTTTGTGTAGAATTTCAGCATTGGATCAAGGTAACGCTGCAACATGCTAGTTTAGGTAGGTGTAGGTCAGACCAGGTCAGGTTGGGTCAGGCTATGTTTCTGATTTATACTGGCTGAAAGCAGCCATAAAATGATTTGTGCTGATGGAAATTTGCTAGGTAATAATATGGGTTTTTGTTTTATTAACAGACTAGTGTTGCTTTATCACTTTGTGTGCGAGCCAATTTATCTCAATTAATCGAAATAAAACTGCCAATTTTGCATGCATCTGGATGAAAATCACAGTAGGTGCTCAACTGTGCTGGTAGAAACCAACAGTCTGACATGTCAATGTTGATGTCTCATGTCACTGACATGTGTGCAGTCTGACTGCTGACATGTACATAAATAAGCTTTAAACCTTCTGCACTTGATAAGCTTATTGTTCTAGTAACTGGCTGACAGCTTTGCATGACACCAACTGTCAGAAAAAAGTCAATTGCAGCATATTCCTTAGTCAGACTCCAAAGTAGGTGGGTACAGTAGTCGAGTAGTGTCAACAAAATCTCATTGTTGGGTCACTTTGACTTTCTGGGGCAGATTTTCGAAGGCAGTTTGAACATCCTAGGGTAAGCTCTGTCCTGAATTTTGTAGCAACTGGTGTAATGACTTGACTACTCACCATATGAATTGATGCCAATGCTGAGTTAAGACTTCTTGGCTCTGAGTCTCACCAATGCTAGTAAGACAATGTTTTTGCTTATTTCACTCAAGTGAGGATTGAGTATAACTTACTTATATAAGAGTGATAACTTTCTGATAGCCTCAATGAGAGTGATGAACAGGATGCACATTGGGCCAGGCTGCAGCAAGCAAATCACTTTGTTCATTGTTTGCTAGTTGTTTACCATGGGCTGGTGTGTAGTTGTTTTCCTGGCTAGTGAGTTTTTACTAGCCCTTCTACCATACTTTGCTCCATGTCTACATTTTATGTATATTTCCTGTATGCACATTAGCAGAAAAAAAAACATTAAACTATATTATAAAAGAGTAGCATTTTAAAAACAATTGTCATTAACAATAATAGGGTTAGTAATGTGCACTTGTCTGTTTAGAATAGATATGTGTTTAACCGATTTGTTTGTTTCAGTTCCCCTGTTAATGGAGAAGTGAAGCAGGAGTTCACCCTGCTGTCACACATCTGGCAAGATGGCTGAATATCTTGCCTCCATTTTTGGAACAGAAAAAGACAAGTAAGTATGAGCTTCAGTTTGAATGATGGCAAGAGCTTATTGTTGGCTTGGTTTGTCTGTGAAGTCCCGATGGTGGTAGGGTAGTCATAAGATAATTGTTTGCTTTGTTTGGTGTATCAGTGTCTAATTCATGGGAATGCAAAACAATAAAATGATAATTATGTCACCAATCATGAGATAAATCTTATGAAAGGTATCCTACACTGAAGCTATGTACTGATTTTACCAAGCTTCTTGCATTCTGTGGTGGCGCTGTAATTATCCTAGTCCTGGATCATGGCAGGTGTCTTGGCCTTTGGGCAAAATGTGATCATTCAACTGCCCGATGCCTATGGTATGATGGAGTAATTTGAAGCTGCATTTAAAGCAACAGCTACATGGTAAACATTGGCTTCTAGGTAAGTCATGGTACCTTGTAACCTTTTAGCTAATCATTTATTTGTGAGGTTGGATGGACAAGGACATGTATGTTTATCGCTCATGTTAATGAATTGAACTTGAAATTTATTTTTGATGATATCTTATATGAAGCTCATTCATTGTATTATGTTAAGTTGGTGTTAAAGATATTCTGGTGGGCCTACTGAATTGATAAGTATATGGCTTTTGTGCCAGAAGGAGCAATTTTTTTTTTTGCCTTTTTGGTCATGCTACTTGATTGAACCATCCACTAAGATGGCTTTTCAGTCATTCTTGTTCAGCGAGTAGTGTTATACTCTGTAACGGATGCAAGCTGCTGGTGGGAGCGCCTTCGCCAACCCCTCTCACAGTGCTGCTCCCTTCCACCAGGGTCAACTGCTCGTTCTACTTCAAGATCGGCGCGTGCCGTCATGGCGAGCGCTGCTCCCGGCTGCACAACAAACCCACCTTCAGCCAGACGATCGTGCTGCAGAACCTGTACGTGAACCCGCAGAACTCTGCCAAGTCGGCCGACGGCAGCCACCTGGCCAACGTGTCCGACGAGGAGATGCAGGAGCACTTTGACAACTTCTTCGAGGACGTGTTCGTCGAGTGTGAGACCAAGGTGCGTTCGTCCGACGGCTCACCACGTCCCTGCGGTCAGGAACTGGGATTACAGTGGCTGCTTTTTGTTATTGGTACCTAGTTTTATTTATTTTATTAGCTAGTGTACCAGTCGTGTACAGCTGTGTACATTGCCGTGTTGTTCGTCATTGTAGCCAATTGCATCGATCGTTTCCTGCGTGCGCCATTCGGTGGTTGAACAATTGAGCCATTCCTATCATTATCCATGCGTCTGTTTGCCACCTCCTGTAACGCTCGTCTCACTTCATCCCTCTCCCCCCTGCACCAGTTCGGCGAGATCGAGGAGATGAACGTCTGTGACAACCTGGGCGACCACCTGGTGGGCAACGTGTACGTCAAGTTCCGCCGCGAGGAGGACGCCGACAAGGCGGTGCAGGAGCTCAACAATCGCTGGTTCGGCGGACAGCCGGTGCACGCCGAGCTCAGTCCCGTCACAGACTTCCGCGAGGCCTGCTGTCGGCAGTACGAAGTCGGGTGAGTCATGATTGAGTGTGTCGCCCGCGGCGTGTAGCCTAAGCCTGTCTGATGTAGGATAGTTTACGGGGCTCAGTGTAAATGAGGTGTTCGTGTTGACCCAGCTTGTAGTGTTCTGGTTTTACGCGGATGGGATTGCTCTGGCCATACCGAACGTCAATTACCCGATCATGCCACATGATAATTGAATTTAGTGCATGTTTACCATACTCTCTGATTGCATGACTCCGCTGTTGATGCGCTCCTAAACCCCAATATTTACCCCTAATGTTCCGCCCCTGGTCATTACCCAGCAATTACCTACCAGTAAAACGCCTTTTGGGCGAAGAACGAGCGAGCGAGATAGTGAGCCCTGCACGTGCAGAAGGGCGAGAGGGTACTTCCAACGGGCTTGTGCAAAGCACCCTTCTAACGGGTCGCTAGCGGTGTACCAAATTTGAACGCAATCGGCCCAGCCGTTCCTGAGATCTGGAAGCGGCATTCTGCACGTGCGCACGTGCAAACGGGGTCCAAAATGACTTTTGCACGGCACCCTACTAACCGGTCCCCAGCCGTGTACCGAATTTGAGCGCAATCGGCCCAGCCGTTCTCGAGATCTGGAAACGCCCCCTGCACGTGCAGTAGCACCCTAACCGCAACACATGGGAATGCATTGCCTGGTAGGTGCCTACTGCCTACCTGTATGCCAAGTTTCAGCGAAATCGCCCCAGTAATTACCGAGTTACTGAAATGGGAACAAATTTGGCACCTCTTATTGTTGTATTTTGCACGTGCAGTGGGGGTCACTCACATAGATGAAGAGTATCCGACCTTTGGTAGAAGGGATGCAGCTACCCTATAAAAATGACCGCAAGACAATCGCTCAAGCCGCTGCTGAGATATGGGCCTCTCAAAATCATTACTTTTGCAAAACTGCTTGAACACCCTTGACTTTTCACGTGGCACGTGCCACGGCGGTCACTGAGATGTATCAAAAGTAGTCAATTACGGGGTAGAAGGGATGGGGCTACCCAGCAAAAAAGACCGCAGGCCATTCGGTCCAGCGGTTGCTGAGATAAAAGCCTCTCAAAAGCGTTACAGGCCGGGCCGGGCCGGGCCGCTCATACTGAGATTTTTTTCCGTTATATTGAAAAGACTTCGCTTCGCTCGCTGCGCTCGCTCGCTCGTAATAAGGTGCCTTACCCATGTATAAGGTGACAATTTTCTACAGCTATCTGACCAAGTCTGCATCACCTACTAGACCCTGACACCTTACGTCATCTGTTTCAGCGAGTGCACGCGGTCGGGCTTCTGCAACTTCATGCACCTGAAGCCGATCTCGCGTGAGCTGCGGAAGGAGCTGTACGGCCGGCGCGGCCCGTCCTATGTGGGCGGCGGCCGGCGCCGGTCGCGCTCGCGGGACCGGGACGGCGGCCGCGGCTGGCGCGGGGGCCGCGGCGGCGGCGGCGGAGGGTTCGGCGGTGGTGGCGGTGGCCGGCGCCGCTCCCGTTCGCGGGACCGCGACCGGCGCCGCTCGCGCAGCCGCGACCGTTCGGGCCGCGCCGGCCGTTACTGAGTGGTGCTGCCGAAGTGCGGACCAGGGTCCGTTCGCTGTGCTGTACTGTCTCACCCGCCGGCTGCGTCTGTCGCTGACGAGGGGACGCCGTGCGTCACCCCCGAGAATAGCTGCCAGTTGTTGTGGTGTGGCACGCCACGGCGGCAGGGCCGAACCTGACCCGGAACGGGCGGGGAACGCCCGAATAACGAGGCTCGGCCGCCGACGTAGCGCCGGGGCCTTTTCATAACGCAGACCACGTGGATCACATTGAGCTGTACACATGATTTTCTCCGTAATTACACTCAGTACAACAAATCAAATAAACATTTGTTTGGGATGTGTTTGTTACTAATTGAGTCAGGAGCCAGAAGCAGTTTAATATGATCTCTAAAAAAGTTGGCATTTTTGTCTCACGCGGTGTTGAAGCAATGCATCGTGTTTCCTTTCTTGTTTATAGCATCCATGTCACATCTATAAAGCATCATATCTACGCTACCGTCACACAGTATAAAAGCTAGTTGATCTCAGATAGCACCTTGCATTATAAATCACATCGCTTCACAAGCAATAATAAACAATACTGTAATACACACTAAGAGTTGCGTACGTACCTAATCTACCATACGACTGGCGCAGTGAACTTCACTGTCGTTAGTCACCCGTGCAATGTGCAAATAAGGCCCGATATAGCGATTCCCAAACCCGGGACAGGAACAAACGAGTAAAGCCACCAGTAAGACTGGTTTATGACGAAGGTGAAGGTCTAGCCGGACCGTGGGAGACACCTCAGAAACGCGACGGTCGTCAGCGGATCGACATTGTAAGGTCGGACGGGCACCGCACTGCTAACTGCACGAACAGGCTCCGGACGCGTGACTCCAATGCGCCTGCGTTTTGCCGAACAAGGCAGGCGACCATCCCAGTAAAGGCGTGTGGTGAGCGCATCGGCCGGACAGTGCTGGCTGTGAGCTCGTCCCGCGGGGTAGCACTAGACGTAGCAGCACTAGCAGGCCAGCTACTCTAGCAGCAGCAGTGTGATCTCGGGAAGTCAGCTGGCTGGTGGAGGATCACTTGGACTCCTTGGGTGCCGGGAAAGGGCTCCACTGGTGGTCGGCCAGCTGGTCGTTGTGACCCTCTTTGAAGCAGGAGCGGCAGTAGAGGTCGCCGGAGCAGCCGGCGCAGCGCACCGCGGCGTCCTCGTTACAGATGCAGCACCAGGGCAGCTCCTGTCGGGAAGGGAGGAGAGCAGTCGGTCAGACAGCGCAGTCGTGAATACTGCAATAGTTAAAGCATAGCTCGAACACTGAACACAGACGGGCAAATTATAGGACTAGAAATACAGCGAACACCACAAGCGACAGGCTTGTAGTGATTGGTGATATGAAATTATTGAGTTCGTGTAAATTGGGTGAAATGCATCCAACGGCGAATAAGAAGTTGCGGTCGGTACTACTCACTTCATCGTCCACTGATGAGATGGACTCCAGTTCCTCGTTCAACTCTTTGTCTTCCAAGGCCGCCTCCTCCGTCACCTGTAAATCGAACAGGATTGTTGGCGTTTTGTTCGCTGTAGGGGTTCAAGGCTGGGTCGACAGCGGAGGAATTATGCGCCTCACCAAAAACGATATACTCGTATTGCACGGCTGCGCATAAGGTAAAGCATTTCAACGTTGTCTCCCTCTCCAATACACAGGCGTTAAGCTGGAAGACAAGGACAATATGCCAATAGAATGTCTCGTTCGACTTCGTTATAACCAGTTGAAGCATCTCCAGTCAGCCCCAATGATGACTGATTGCTGATTGACCGTATAACCACCTCTCGTTCCTCGGTGGAGTCTGAGCCCCTCACGTATCCTAACCTGTCTAATGAGTCGCTGTACCTTCCGTTCGTCAATGGTGACTCTGACGATTTATCACCTGTCTAATGAGTCGTTGCACCGTCTGGTCCTCACAGTGTTGTAGAGGTCCTCACATGTCGGATGAGTCTGAGATCGTGTTCTCACCTGTCTGATGTGTCGCTGTACTTCCCGTTCTTAAACTGTGGTCCTCTCAGTGTCCTCACCTGCCTGATGAGTCGCTGTACCTCCTGATCCTCACTCGGGTCCTCCGTGTCCTCCCCAGCGCCGGTGGAGGAGGTTGCCGGGCCGCCGCGCCGCCCGTCCCGCGCCAGACCCTTCACGTCCTCCAGCCTGCCCGGATACGTGCGTTTTCAACATGTTTTTAGGCCAGCGATTCGCTAGCCAAATTTATTGCCAAGTCCTACGCCAATGATATTTATGAAACATCTTAGCTATATTGAAGTAAGCAACAATTCGTAACTTCAATTTTGAGTAGCAAATGTTCCAGCTGGTAATAGAAATTGCCATCTCAGAGCACGGTCTCCATGCTTTTGAATCACCATCAAAACCGACGATTTCCTCTCGCCTTAGTAACAACTCCACCTGCACACGTACCATCGCAGCAGCCAACCCCCCCCCCCCCCCCCCACACACACACACTGACCGGTGGTGAATATCGGCGACCTTCTGCGCTATCTGGTTGGCGCGGTCCACCTCGGCGGCCACCTCTGCGCTGACGGCCGCCACCAGGTCGGCCGGGCTCTGGTGGTCGGTACTGGCCAGAGTCTGGTGTAGAGAAGACGGCGTGTGGTAAGACCAAGGCACAGCTGGGTAGCCAGCGCCAGCGGTACACAATACATGTACATAGCAGAGTTCACAGAAAGATGCATTGAGCGGTATGCAGATCACATTCAGAACAGATGAATTACGCAGAAGTTGGTACCTAAATTTCGTTGCTTGGTCGTGCGCGGTCACCGGACCGAGTCATCGACACATCGCTGACTGACCCCCCACCCCCTTCCCGGCCCTGACCTGCGGGTGTCTCTGACCGCCTGTCTCGCCGGCTGCCGTCGTGGCGGGGGCGGGCCCGGGGTCGGCGCCGCCGCCGCGCAGCCGCTCCAGCCGCTCCTGGAGACCCTCCTCGGGCCGGTAGCGCGCCTCGATGGCCAGCTGGTCTTTGGTCTCAGCCAGGAGGTCGTCCTCCTGCTCCGCGGCCGTGCGCCGCTCCGGCGGCGGCAGGTTACCGGACGGACCGGAGGAGCTCGACGGACACGGCTCCCCCTTCAAGGCGGCCAGCCGCGCCGCCATCTCCGACTCCGTCGGCACGCTGAAAGAAGCGGAGATCAGCGAGAGACAAAAAAAAAATCTTATGAGCCATCCACTCAAATGAGTGACTAAAACATAGATCAGACCGGTGCGAACGCATGGCGTACCGCATAGTGTAACATTAATTGTCGTCAATAACCCACCGCCAAATCACTAGACAAGCGACGGCCAACTTATACCTCAGAGAAGATGGTTAGCAATGAATGCACTTACTTCTTTGCCTTGCGGTCCGCCTTGAGTGCCTCGAGCCGGTCGACGAGCTCAGAGTCCTGGTGACTGAGGCCACGCTTCAGGCTGGCGGCGCGAGGCGACTGCCGGTACACCACGATCGGCGGGCGGGCAGGATTCTCCAGATCTTCCAGGCGGCTAAATGGGCAGGACCGGGCAGTGTTACGTGGACGCAAGGGAGCGTGTGTGTATGTGTGTACGCGAACAAAAGCATACCTTTGACTACGTACAGGGGAAAGTAGGCTAAAACGAGAGGTACGCAAGCACTAATCCAGATCAGGCTGTTGGTATCACAGCGGCCATTCGCAAAGTTTACCGTTTGAGTGCCTCTGGCGGCACCAGGGGCGGAGCCTCGTCCTCGATGGTCGTCGCCTTGTTGTAGCACTTGCGGCATACCGACTGCTTCTTGCCATCGATCGGTAGTTTTTCCGGCAAGCATTTGGAGCAGAGGGACATGTGGCATATTGGACAGCCGTGCTGTTGGAAAACAGGCGATGCCGTTACCGCTCGCATACTTTTAACATTTGATTATTTTTTCATCGTGTCTCTTTTTTAATCCTTTATTATGATATTCGAGGAGTGTCACCAGCATACACTCAGCGGTCGATAAACATATGTCATGCATTCAGCATGACTGCCGTACAAGAAAACAAAACAAAACTTCGGCAGCCAGCCATAAGACATCAACAAAACAGTCACAAAACAACAACATCACGTCCACGCGCGAAAAGGCTCAGCCACCGACGCCGGCTGCGACAACGACGGCGGGACCACCAGCCACGCCCCTGGCGGAGGCCGCCACGGCGTCGGCGGCCAGCCCGATCTCCAGATCAGCGCGCAGCAGCTCAGACCGTGTCACCTCAAGCGTGGCAGCGGGACGCTCGGCACCCCCGCACCCGCTGCATCACAGGGCTTGGGAAAGGATTGGAGTTTTCATCGTGAGGTTGTACATGCAGTCAACTTCTTGTTCAGCTGTTCAGCTGAAATGAAGCATGCTGCAGCACACATACCGTGGTAGTTTCTACACCAGCTAGTCCTGCCCACACCCATGTGCCACCCAAGACACCCAAACAGCCCTCTGAGCAGTCACTTAGGCCAGGGCGCATTCACAGTCTCCTCGGACGAAGAACATTCTACGTCATCCAGCCAATCCCATTTGATAGCTACAGCCAGGCTGACCTTGGAAGCCATTGGCCGGACAATGTATAATCTTCATCGTCCAGGAGACTCCATCCAAATCCGGGGTTATACTTCAGGGTAGGTACCTATTTATTTGCTCACCTCTCGGAAGAAGAAATTGTATTTTGAAAAACAACTTGAGCAAGACATTACCCAAACTCTAGAGTGCTGAGACACTCAGGTAGTCAGAACTGATGCTTTTTAACCACTTCTTTCCTATGAACCTTTGACAAAAGTCAAAACCCAGTTAAACTGATATTTATCTTTGCATCAATACTATGCTGATCCTAATCTGGCACAGCCTAACAATTTCAGCCACTTCTTCTTTGTGGGTTTAGGGGTTAGGGCAATTTCAGCCACAGAAACAATCACAACCTGACCCCAGTGTCTTCAATGCACCAAAATTGATCTTCAAACGTGCAACCTGCAACGTAGTAAAGTAATATTGGTGCAATGGGGCAGATACAATGAAAACTAATGCAGTGGAGAATATAGCTGTTTTCTTTTCATTACCGGCTGCAAAAACCGTCAACGTATCCCTAAGTTGACCAATGCACAGAGAACAAATGAAAATATGACGTCATCGTGAGCAGTATTTGAACATATAAACGAACCGTCTGCGCCATTAAATGAATTTGTACCTCTAAAAGCCGGACCATCCCACCTTAACATTAGTTTTGAGTTGAGATAGCCAAGTTTGCGGCCAGGCTCAGAAACCACCATTTATCCTGGTCGCAACCCCCGCAGCTTTATGGTGTTCAAGAAATTTCTTCCCTTTACTTGCAGGGTGGGACCAGCGTGGTCCCTATCTCTTAACCATTACGGGAATCTGATGACGTCATCAGGCTTTCGAACGTCCGTTAAATGTTTGACTAAAACGTTTTGTATCACGCGGTGGTATATGCTGCTTTGCGCGCAACAAATGCCGCACTTTCAAATAAAGTCGCTAGGAACAGCGGAGATCCCAAAAAGTAAACAAAAGTAAAAGTCTAATATCTTGAAAACCGGTGAATATTTTTCGATGAAATTTGGTAGATATTCGTTTTTGCTCTTTCTGAACCGAGCGACATCACTTTCATGCCAATTCATTAACTTTTTTGAAGGTGGGAGGGTCCCTTTAAAGTACTGCAAAAAGTGTTTTTGCCTTGCTATTTTGCAGTTCACTGCAAGGTTCACTGATCCCGGCTTTGGGTTCCTGGAGGTTCTGGTGCGTGAATAAGCGAGGTGAATTCCTTATCGTAATTCATCGCAAGGAGTTAGGACCGACGTAAAAGGTAGGAATTAAGTCTTGCTATGCCATGATAAATCAATCGTACCTACCAGGCTCAGGCAATGCTGGAATGTTTTTTTTTTCTTATTTGAGTTTGAGTTCCTTGGGTTTTGGGAATGTCAAATATCAATTATCAATAGCAAATTACAAAAAAAATACAACCTTAAAATTAATAGAAACAAATGGGAAAGTTTGAGCAATCTTATTTAATATATCTGTGTGCAATTGCTTGCAGAGCATTTTGCTAAATTCAAGTTCCATTTATTGGGTGTTAGGTTTCAAAAGTGTATGTTTGTAGGCAAGATAGGACCAGATTTTTTAGTGATATCCATTTACATGACAGTAACGTGATCTGTAAAGTGTAACATGACAGCACTGCTGCCCAGTGTTTCTGGTGAAATGCCCATTGCATCATATTGATGTATCAAACATCAAGCTTTGAGGCTAATTTAGGTAGGTAACAGCAAAGCATTTCATCCAGCATGTCAACATTTGTTCATGGTATCCTCATATATAACCGGACCTGATCTGTAGGCAGAGGCCAAATACAGCACAGGCCAGGGAAAGAGGTCTTATCATTGTATAAGACCTTACTCACTTCTAAATGAAATGGAAGTCTGATAATTACATACACTGATACAACTCTTTCTCATGGCAAGGATAGTTGACAATCGAAATTTGAAATATAACTTATCTGTTGATAGATAGGTGCCTACAGTGTCTGCTTTTGACGTTTGAAACATAATGTGATAGCAATAATAACATTTGCATAAATATTCAGAATTCATAACAAAGCAAATGATGTTTTGTCATCCAAACCTTATGCTCTGCATCCACTAAGCTCAGCCTTCTGCCTGGGCTCTCAGCCACCATGCACATCACAGAGGACCAGGCAGCAGCACTGGCCAGGCTGGCGCCTACTGAGGTTGGCCCTGTGACCGAGAGTGCCCTCGCTGAACTGGAGAGCCCCGCCGAGGGGCCGGCGCGACCGCCGGACCGCACCCTGGCCGTGCTGGCCGTGCTGCTGGCGGCGGCACGCGCTCCGCCCGCCGACTCGGCGCTGCTAGCCGCCGCTCTGCAGGCCGCCTCCGTGCCGCCGGACGTGCTGGAGTCGCTGCTGTCTGCTGCCGCCGAGAGCCGGCCGCGCGTGCGGCGCGCCCTGCTGGCCGGCCGGCCGGAGCCGCAGCAGCTGAGCGGTCTCAGCTGGCGGCTGGCGACCGTGGTGGGCAGCCGCGCGCTGCCGACCCAGCTGCGGCCCGAGCTGCTCCTGCGGCTGCAGCTGATCCAGCAGCCCCGCGAGCTGTCGCTGCTGGTGGAGCCGGCCGACTTGCGACACATCACGGCCGAGCTGGAACGGGCGCTGTCCCGGCGGCCGGTGGGACATCGGCTCGGTCCATCGGCCCCAGCTCCGCCACACTGACTGAAACACCGCCAGCGGGACAGGACCAAGGACGGGGCTGCCTGCGACACCGCACGGACGGTGTAGTGTGGATAAACTCTCATAGGGACTTCCCACGGGCTGAGCAGCCGCAGTGATAGTAGACGACATACTAGCGACATCGAGACTGGTCAGTGCGCTAGGGGACCACTAGTTGCTAGGGCTGCTCGGTGTCTATTCTGTGCAGGGATGGTGGACCACTGCGTCAACTAGACCGGACTCTAGATTCGAACAGCCTCTGGTGCACCGCTCGTGTGACGCCATACGGACGTGGGCAGTTTGGGAGCGGATCATGAGTGCGAACTTTCGCGTAAATATCCCACTGAAAAAGTGATAACATCTTGCATAGATACATTCAGATGCATGTTGTGTATTGTGCAAGTGTTCGGGTTGATACTGTATTTGTACTTGGAAGGCTTTCCATTTCAAATGAGGCATGAGCATCAAGGAATGAGTCAGCTAGAAGCTGGAAGGACCTCGATGAATGTGTGTGCCGGTTCTCAGACTAGCGCGGGCATACCAGACACGATGATCCCAGCTCTTAGCATTGTGTGTCTTTTCGGCGTATGAACCTTAGAAAATGCCTGGAGGGCGGATCGCTGCGTGCCTTTGTACCGAATCTATGATATCGATATTTAGCAATAGGAGCACCACATTGTGCAGCTGGCAGTGTAATTGACCAACCATGTCATGAAGTGGGCTGGCTTCTTAATACCTTTTTGTTCTTAGTGGTTTGTGAGTTGAAAGAGAATGCATGAGATTATTTTGAAGATGATTCATTCCATGATTGTTGGTTATGCTGATTGAAATTGCTTGATGTCCGTCTTTCTTTCCTTGGTGTTTCGCTGTGGTTTCCTGATTTATATTAGTTTACGTCTTATTGCTTTTAGTGGTCATTCATGATAGTCTTGCTAGTCGCTTTGATAGTTAATGACGGTGATAATCATAAATGTTGCATGCGAACGATGCCAACTACCTATCGTTCATATTATCCGATAAAGTTGTGTGGCTTATCCGAATAACCGTGGCATTGCCTTCTTTGAATACATTACGTGCTACTAAGAATCACAGCAGTTGTGTGTTAGCATTGGCGGGACTCAGGAGTCAGGATCGATGTGAGGCTTATCCAAGAACAACGATATAGGGAAGTGCCCAATGATGTCGGTCGATAGCGAGGTTGATGAACGCTGTGCCACATTGTTGTAACGTGCAGCTGACGGGGACTTAACGGCCTTACTTGTAACTTTGCATTCAACGCTAACTGCTCTCTAATTTCCAGCTAGGCATGACCCACCGTTTCTAAAGTTGAGCTAAAAGATGCGATCGCGCCAGTCGCTAGTGTAGACGAGTCTCAAGTTCTGACATTGTACGTCATGTCATCAGCCAGCTGATGCAGTGTACTCTCGCCCTCCCGTGCATCGGTCCTTAAAGCATGCTGCCGGTGGGTCGTGCGTTACAGCGAGGGACTGTGGTTCAGCCGTGGTTCAGCCCACCTGGTGAAGACTGAGCCCAGGAACGAGGAGCGCTTCACCGGCTCATCCGGCTCTGGAGGTTGACCTCCGTGGTCGATTGCGACGTCACTGGTGTGCGATCAGCTACTCATCTGCCACTGACCATGCCGGAGAAGCGGCTGGTGCGACTGCTGCTGCAGCAGTGCACCTCCGCCCAGCTGGACCTCCGGGGCACAGGCGCCGTCAGCACGGAGTCAGACGCTGACCTCATACTGGAGCGGTGCGGCGCTCCCGATGACGACGGGTTTCTGAAGGTTAGTTTCGTAGTCCCTAGGCGATACGCTCACCTCTACCTAATGGGCGGCTCTTTCCTAGATAGTCTACAGATACAGATAGTGTAATGCCGAACATATGGCACCTGTGGAATGTGGATACTGGATAGCATTGTGGCATTTGTCATTTAACTCGTCATTAGCTAAACGTTTCGCAGTAACTGGTTGGTACTTAATACTTTCCTGAGGTCGTATATATGCCACCAACTCCATGTCATTCATAGCTGCGTACTGCGTCACGACTCGTGTCCTGTATTCATATCTCCGTCTAAACCTCACACCCCTCTCTCCCTGTCAGATCGGCCCCGGCCTGGTACTCTTCGTCTGCTTCCTCTCGGGCTGTGACGAAGCCACGGCTCGGCGCGCCGCCACCACCGCGCTCTCGGCTCGTCTGAGCGAGTCTGCCGGGGACAGTCGGCGAACGGCGATCACCTCTGCTCCTGGCGACATCCTGGTGGTACCGCAGGCCACACTGGGCGGTCAGCTGAAGGGAAAGCAGTTCCAGTACCACGGTAACGTCTCTAAGGCGGACGGCGCTCGACTGTATGCGGTGTTTGTGGAAGCGCTGAGCGAGGCAGCGGCGGAGGTCGACGGCTGGAGCCAGGCGGGCTGCAGGATTCGGTGTGGGAGGTACGGGGCCAGGCAGGTGCTCAGCTCGACCACCAATGGACCGTTTTCACATGTGATAGAGCTCTGAGATGGGGTGGAGTTCGGGTTCGTGAGAACTGAGTTCAGATTTGTGTCTGCATTTTGTGTTTTGGGTTTGATTGATTCCGTGTGATTTTACTGAATCGCTTACCGGTATTAGATTTGTCATGAAGACGAGTCATATCTGACGTACTAGTGTAAAGTATGACTGCATTGGGTTCAAGGGTGGTGCATCGCCCTAAATACGAGGGGTGTTCAAAAAGTTCTCGGCCCAACCATGAAGGAGCAGAGATACGACGTCGACTTATTAGACCAAAAATGTTCATTGAGTCAAATAACCAGCGTTAAGACAAAAAATATTTCGCGCAGCGCTTCGCGAGAGGCCCCAGGGTCTCCATAGCCAAGTGGGTTTTGGACCCATCTGGCACATCCAAGACGGCTGCTTTTGTCTCCTTGCTGTCAGCGAATTTGCCATTGCTAAGCAATTTCCTTATGTTTGGGGAAAAGGTGGCAACCAGAGGGTGCATGGTACGGAGAAAAAAGTGGATGTGACAGCAACTCGAAGCCACAGCTCACTGCTTCGCTGATCGTCACCCTGCTCATGTGTGCTGGTGCGTGGTCCTGCAGGATCAGGCGCACACTTTTAGTCAGCTTCCCTAGTCTCTCCTCTATATCTGCTGCTCGCAACTATTATCGAAGGGAGGTGTAGTATTCATTAGAGGTGTCAATCGGATACCAACTGTTCGGTATACCGATACCAAACCGATACCAACTTGGTATTTGGTATTTCAAGGCGAGTGCATTTGGTATTTTGTTGGTATTATGAATCCTCACTATAATGTACAAGAGGCTGAGAATTTGGTAGAAACTTGGTATTTTCCCCATATTCCCAAGTCGGTTCGGTTTCGGTATTTTTCCATGGATATTGTTGGTATTTGGTTTGGTATCGGTATCACGATTTTCCGTAATTGACATCACTAGTATTCATCATCAATTGTGCGCCTCTGTTTTAAAAAGTTAACCAGCAGAGCCCCGTCAGCATCCCAAAATGCAACCACTGTCACCTTGCCGACTGACTTAAACGCGTGCACACATTTGGTGGCCTTTAATCAGTGTGCTTCCACTTGTGCAACTCGGTCACGCCCTTAGGGTCAACGTGTGACACCCACAATTCCTCCACGGTAACAAGTAGTTCAATGGCCTCTTTTGGATCTTCGATATAGGGGCCAAAATGTTCTCGTTACGCCTCCTTACGAGTTTGCCTTTTCTCTGGAGTCAGCAAATGGGGGATGCATCTTGCAGAGATCTTAAACATATTAATACGCTGTTGAAGAATGACTTTGAGGAGCCTGATAGACACCTCCGCTTCTGCTGCGTTGTTCAAGACCAGAACATTTGTCATTTTTCACAAAGAAGTGCTTATTTTTCATATTTTCTTGAGACAATGCTGTTGATGGCTGGCCACTGCGGGGGTGACCATTAATGATCTGTTGACCAAAATTGAACAGAGATGCCCACTTTTTGACGCTACTGTAAGAAAGACAAACCTCAACATGTGTTGGCACTAGCTTTTCGTGAATAACGTTTGGTGCATTTTTCTGCAATGCATGAACCAAATCACTGTTCTCTTCTGGGCGTCGCCCATTCTGACCGGGAATGGCAAACTATGTTACGATTAATTAGCAGCCTGAACCAATCACAGGGCAGATTGGTTACTGGCTACGTAAGTGGACATCCCAATAACACATCATTGAATGCACCGCGTTACAGGCCGAAATTCCAACTCCTTCATGGTTGGGCCGAGAACTTTTTGAACGCCCCTCGTAAGTATTGCTGTGGGCCGATATCACCCAGTTATTCCTCCCACGCGCGTAAAGGTGGTCTTATCTCCCATTCCCCTCAATCACAGCCAGTGAATACAGTCAGCTCGCGGTATGACCTCACGTTTATTGGCCGTGGGTGACACGTATGTACACACGCTAAGTACAAAACAGGCGTTACAAACGCTGGCGGCACCGGCTGAGCTCCGTCGGTGGCGCTCGGGCCGCGGAGCTGACCCGTCCTCTGTGCCAGAGGCTGGACTGAGACTGAGGCGGGCCGGGCCGCTCCGCACCCAGCAGCTGCTCTAATGTCGTCCCCTGCTACTCAGATGCGTCGCAGTCATGGGCTTTGATTATGGATGCTTGATATTGTGACAAATCCGGCCGGTATACTGCGACAATATCGGCGCCGTAGTTGTGCGGCCCGCAGCCCACGCGCTCCTAATGGCTAACCTACGTCACTAGCTGCAATAAATAAATCAAAACATGTTCAAAATCGTCATGCGCTCCAGAGCAATACATGCCTGAGCAGCGCCCATCGCTCGGCACAATTTGTCAGTGTCTCGCAGCACATACACCGCGACTCAGTTCATACAGTGAGCGGGCGATGTCAGGCAGTTGAGCCCAGTCGTACTAACCGACGTCCCGTAGCACATACCCCATCTGGCTGGCCCTCAGTGCGAGGCGACTCGCGATCAGGGGCTACAGCCTCACGCACAAACAAGCACGAACAGATATTTAAAATAAATCTCTCAGTCGCCATACTCAGTACATTCGCTGTCCAACAGAGCAGACCTGTGTCCCGACAGCGCAGTTCGGTCGGTCAGACGGCGGCAGTGTTGGTACCATAAAACCGGCCGCTACCGGCGGGTATGACACGTCTGGTGGACTCGCGGGCCGCCGAACGCGGCCCTAATCTCGGTCGTCGCCGGAACCATTCACACAGCGACGGTGGGCCGCAGCACTCCACAGCTACCTGTCATTGAAGGACACACCCGCGCGGCAGCCGCCCGACACCCGGTGAAGCTCATTGGGACAGCACGCGGACCAGAGGGCGGTACTTCCAACCGCAGCGAGTCGGCGCGGCAGCAGCGGATGGCACAGCGCACCAGGCGGCCGCGCGAGCCGTCTTATGTGCTCTGGTGGGCAGGACCGTTGAGCGTCGCTTATTGCTCCTCTACGCGGCGCATCTTTGTACTCGAGTCGGACAGATGGCGCCAACAGCCACCAGCTGACCTCAACTGACCCGAACGGCACCCGGTGACCTCAGTTGACCCGACATGACCCGGTCGACCCTCACAGCCCGCTGCTGCCCTGGCATTCGGACGTAACGACACCTTTGAGCCTCTCAGCGGAAAATCACTATACAAAAAATACAGCTGGCGCGGCCCAGCCGCCGGTGCTACCACCTAGCGACTATGGCAGGTACTCGAAGTATCACAGCGATCCACCAACAAGGACCGGGGCGAGCCCAACAGCGGCACTTCCACAATATTGCGGGTATCGTGTTGAACTAAATCGGAACTGGTCAGCAGCTATGAGTGCGGGTCAATAAGTGGTCAGGGAGATTAAAACCGAGTTCATAGAAGAACGAATGAGTGACCTGAAAATTACTTGGATGAGGAGAGTTGGAGGTTTCCTCCCTTTACTCAAATAAAAACAGCGTAGGACACATCGTTTACGAGGATTTAAGTGAATTTCTCAGCTCTTTTGAGGACGTAAGTGTGATCCAGTTACCCGTAATACAGTATCGGCGCCGTCCGTCAGAGCTCACCCCGTCCGGGCGCGGCTCGGCTATAGCGCCAGCAGCGAAGAGAGCGCCGCCGCCGCCGTCGCCGCGTCGGGCTCGTCGCGCCGGTCTGCCGGGAAGGTGCGCAGCACGTCGTCGGCCGAGAGGGGCGTCAGCTGCCAGCCGGTGTGGGCGTCCAGCGGTACCAGCTCCAGCTCCGGCTGGCTGCCCAGGCTCAGCACTGAGCTCCAGTTGATCTCGTCCTCGCCGAAGCCGCTGTCTCCGCAGGGGGAGGCAGAGACGGCCGGTGCCGGTGGTAGGCTGACGGCCGCCGGAGGTGGCGGCGTCTGCGGTGGGGGAGGCGGGTCCAGTGTCAGAGGACCGCTGTCGAAGTGGTGCGGGTTGAAGGCTGCTGCCAGAGTGAGGCCCTCCTGCTCCAGCTCCCGCTCGATGTGCCGCATCGTGTTGAAGAGGAGAACCGATTTGCGCAGCGGAGGGTCGACCATGCGCCGGTGTCTGCTCAGTTTGAGCATGGTGGTGTGGAGCGCCGTGAACCTCTGGTACCGGTACAACTGGGAGCGCTCCCGCCGCGCCGGCACCGCGCCCAACTGGATGTAACTCTTACCGTCACACTCGACAGTCTGGTTTTGTGGCCGCTGGCCGGCGCCACCCTCCGAGTACCACCCAGAGTAGGTGGCTCGCCCGAGCTCGCAGGCCGGTGAGTAGCCCGACTCCGCCGACTCCGGGCTGGCGCTGAAGGCGGTCCGCTTCTCGGAGAGCAGGCACGAGGCGAGGATGCTGCCCTGGTAGCCGCGCTCCTCGTCCTCGTCCTCCTCGTCCTCAGACTCGTCCTCGCTGGCCTCGGAGGAGGACTCGTGCGGCGAGGGCGGCGGCGTCTCCTGTCGCCACACGGGTGCCGGCCGCAGCCGTTTGCCGGGCGGCGGCGGCTCGGCAGTGTCCAGCGGTCGCTTCCGCAGCTCGTCGGTCTCCTGGTGCGCCCGCGCCGCCTGCTCCAGAGGACAGCCCGCTGACGCAGGCTGTACGTGACCCATCGCCGCGTCGGAGACACTCAGCTGAAACAAACAGACGTACAGACAAGGTCAGACACGAGGAAACTAGCCGGAATAAGCTAAAACACACATTGATCGAGCAAAAAAAAAGCCATTGTGGCTTTTTTTTACAGGCAGAGTTCAACTCCCGACCAAAGCCTCCAAAAATGCATATCTGTTTCAGTGTAAAATTGGCGTACGTGGTAAGCTTGATCGAGACGACTGAGACTCAGCTCCCCAACCCAGCTTTGCTACGCATCTCCCAAGCCTCTAGAAACGACACCGGTAGTCAAAACTAGAACCTATAGTTCACCCAACCACCGCCAGAGGCGCCCGGAGCAGCGCCGATGACTGCGCCGTGGGCGAGCCAGCCGGGGCCGGGGCCGGGGAGAGAGAGTGGGAGGGAGGGGAGTGCTCCACTAACGCCACCGTCGGCTCAGGGCCGCCTCCCAGCCAGCCAGCGCTGGCGCGGCGGCGCAGCGGCGGCGGGGGACCGTACCGACCTACCGACCGCCCGGCACCGAGCGCCGCCGGAGGCACAGCGCGCTACGCTCCAAGGACCCCTGCTATATGCACGCTGAAGAACATACGAGTATAAGCTGCAACATATCCAATATGGATATTGGATAACTTATTCACTTCAGTATAAATATTTAATGATATGCTGGATTTTTTATATATAGCGGTTCGTTGTAAAATATTTCAATATACCCATGTAGGTATATTTTACACGTAGGTATATTTTACACAAGTTTTTTTTTTTCTTCAAAATAATTGTAACGGCCTGATTGGAACTTTTTAAAAAGTCAAGTCTTCTCCGAAATTATCCCATCAGGTGTGGGAACTATTTCCTTTTGGAAATCCTGCCGAATCAATTTAAAAGATGGCATCCGCATAAAGGTGTAAAAATTTTTGTCATTTTAAATATTATACGTATCATGAAGTAAGTATCAAGAAGAATTAGGTATAGTACGAATCTTCTTCACTGTGGAATTAATACTCTAGTCTGGCTAGCCATATCAGCGTAACTTTTGTTGCGCCGCGCCGCTTGGAGTAGCTTTTTGTACATCAATTTTGGACAATATGTGAAATTATTTACCCCAGGTCATGTCAGGTCAGGTCACCAGGTCAAGTTAACTGACCAAGCCTAAAAAAGTTTGCAATCATGTCCAGCCTGCAGTGTTTGTCAGAAAAGTTTTAAACTTGGTGGATTGCATGATGTTATGGGCGCCTACAATTTGTATATCTCGGATTTTTTATATCCGTGACCTAAGGTCAGGTCAGTGGCGTGGTCTTTCCATTATAAGTCAATGGAGAAAAACGAAAATGCCTCTAGATCCGTGTGTACGCATAGGTACAGTCCAAATATTTCAGAATCACAATGATTTGGACCATCCGTGACGAGTAAGGTGTCTTTTTTGCTGATAGCCTCAAGAAAGGTCATCCGAGGTCATTTGAGGCTACAAACAGATTTTTGCCAATAACTCTCGATTGGAAAAAGGTATAACGCTGGGGATGGCTTCATTGTGTTTGTCTTGCCGAGACACATCGACTGATATGCAACATGACCCTTTCCAGTCAGGTCATGACCTTGACCTGAGGTCAAATTTTCAAGTTGACCTTTCAAGGTCAAATTATAGTTCATTCGACGCGTCTCGGCGAAAGGAACACGATTCTGGCAATAGAAATGTCGTGTTTTTTAGTCAAAAGTTATTGTCGAAAAAACACTTTTCGTAAAAACAGCTAATTTTGGAGTTTTTGTCATCTGGAGGCTAAACCGTTGACCTGAGGTCATTTTTGATGATGATCTTATCAAAAGAAGAGTTCAAAAGCTATCGATTGCTTTTCCAAGCGTTTTTCTAGCCACCATAGTTCCTGTGATAATGGCATGTTTTCTGAAAAATATCATGGCAATTCGCAAATTTTGACCTTTGATGACCTCTGGTGACCCCAATATTGCTCTAAGATGAAAAATGACAGAAATACTTTCAAACGTACGCATCAAGAGCTATTGACTGCTTTTTATCGCGTCTTTCTAGCCCTCTTAGTTTTTGAGTTAGAGGTGGGTGGTAACATATGCCTCCCCCCCCCCTACCACTAGGGCGAAGTTGGCTGAGACCGCCACTGGGGCGCGGGTTAAAAAGTTAATTTAGGAATAGTTTCAACATGCAAGCGACTGAACATTCAAATATTCCATTACGAATTTCTAATGGGAAAGTTGAAGTAAGGTTCACACGTTTTTATCTCGGAGACGGAAGAATGTCGAAAATAAGGGCTCCTCATTTAGGTAATATATTATTTCTTAACCTTTTCTCTTATCCTATATTTCTAATCCATTTTTAAACACAATCAATATGGTGCTGGTGAATTTAAACAGAGCTTAGGATATTCTGCCTCATGATAAGCAGATTTTCTTACAAAGAAGGCAGATAAAATTGTAATCGAATCATTCATTCGAATATGGACTTCTAACTACTCAGCAACCTTTATAAATTCTTACATATTCATTCATCGTACCATGGCCATAAGTAAGACCAGTAAGACGCCTTTTTTTGGGGGGGGAGAGGGCAACAAACGAGCAAGCGCGAGTCTGAACACTGCTCGATCGTTACAATCACATTGAGCTTGCCTCACACAAGCGAAGTGTAGCACTAAATAAAAGTCGTAAAGAACTTGTATGAATGTCCTGATCTACCGTTGTTGATCTGCAGATCAGCAACGGTCGTTTTTGGTTGGAACCCTCAACCTTATCGCGAATTATAGGTAACGGATGCCTATTTTTTTTTTCGCACTTAACTGATAAAACATGTCATACTGTTTATTATGCCTCCTTATGTCTTCTATCGAAAATCATAAATGAAACGCAATTTAAGTACAGTCCTCTCATGTCGTAGGCAAACGACTTTTATCATGAGAACATTTCACCAAAATTCATGGCAGAGAAGGCAGCGTAAGAAAGGTTCATGCATAAAAACTACATCAATTCCTTTTTGAAACATACCTAAGAATATCTAATTAAGAAACGAGCATTCGTAGAAATGAGCATTCGTTACTAAAGAAGTAAGATGGTATGAATAATTTCTAGAAGGTGAACGGCATCCCATTGCTCCCCCCCCCTCCTGTTGAACTTTCGGGTTTCGTGAGCCGTTCCGTTTCGGCAATTATAAAAAAATACTTTGGGAACTTTTGGAGTGGTGGGTTTAATACCCAGATAAGTGCTAGAACTACGCATTTACTTAATAACATTACGAATAAGAAAAACTAAAAAAGGAAGTCAGTGGACAGTCGACACGTTCGCGGTGCGGGATGCCTTGCGGTCGCCCGTGGCAGGACAAGGTGTGCTAATGATGCACCGTGTCGACAGGTTGATGAGGGGCGGATGTGGGGGTCAGGGGGGGAGGGGCGGGGCAGACGGTCCAGCCTGTCTGACGGGTCGGTCGGGGCGGCGCTGCAGCCTGCAGTGGGCCGCCGTCCGACCAGCCCGGCCGGTGCCGCGCGCTCGGCCAGAACGGTGAAAACTGGCCGGCGGCCGCCGCCGCGCCGACCGTCCCGGCGGCTCCGTCCCGCCGCCGAGCCGACCGACCGACGGCAGCTGAGGCAACGGGCTGCCATATCACACCTGGGCGCTGCCATATCGCACCTATCAGTGCAGCCCGGTCATCACAGTTGTATCGTGCATTGAATCAGCGCCGGTGCAGATACCGTCAGACCGAGAAGTCCCCTCGGACAACCACGACTATCAGCGCGACCCGGCTGTTAATTCTGCTGTTCAAGAAAATGCTATACTATACGTTTTCCATTATCCATGCCTCAGCAATACCAATACGGTTCGGAGATGTTAAAATTAATTTGCAGCAGATAATAACACTTGGAAATATTAGTATGATAAAACAGTAGGTATAGCATCGCAAACGGCAATAGTCAATACTTATTAGGGGAAGGTGGGGTAAGACGGACCAGCATAAGGTTTGAGGCCGCATATCTTGCTACACTGCTCTCGTAACTCATATTGTTTATAGTCTTCTGAATGCTCAATCCTTCCTCTTTTGATATGTGCAAAGACTGAATTCAAAATAAAGCCATCTAGGTGGTGACTGGTGGATGCTCTTAAAGGGGGACATGTCGAAAACTCAGATAAGAAAAAACGCGGGGTAAGACGGACCACCCAGCAGTGCCTGCTATCCATTCATGCTTGGTACAGTTCTAATCTGTACTCGAGTAAGTAGAGTGGTAAAATAACAAAATGAACCTTTATTCTATACTCATATGTTATGGAAGTGCGACTAAATACTGGGAACATGTGTGTTGATTGTCGTTTGGCATGAATGCATGCTAGCTGAGCATTTGCAATGGTCCATGTGCAACAAAGACTCCTTCCTGAAGAATTGGCCTACTGAAACTTGTGTCAATGCTTTTTTCAAAAGAATTTTCATATGATGGGTACAATGGACCGCCGCAGGGTAAGATGGACCACAGTGGTCCGTCTTGCCCCAAATCTAAATTCTGTCATTATCATGACGTGTATGTCAAATAGTCCAACATTGCGAAACCTTGCCTGTTCTAAAGTGTGACTATAACCAAGTTTATAACTTTGTTCTTCACCGTAAAGTGCAAAATAGAAACTAATCATGCAATAAAGGCGCCAAAATTGAATCACCCGTAGACCTCTTATATTAGATCGGTTTGACGAAAACAACACTTTTTTCAATAACTCAAAAGCTATGCATCCTAGCCTCATGAGCTCAAGGTGGCCATTGTTACGAAGGGAAACAAAGGTAGTGAGTGCATAAAGCAGTAGATAACAGCAGCGGTTCAGCCGGGAGGGCTGGTGGTCCGTCTTGCCCCGCTGGGCCGTCTTACCCCACCTTCCCCTACTTATATTGTAAGCGTTTCGCATTCCATGGTTTTACATGGATGCCTTTAAATATTTCCCTGTTCATATATACTGATGTTACTCGGGATAAGACTGCTTTTTTCACACATCAAAGGAATAAACTTCCGATCCGATATACAAAGGAATATAG